ACACCAGTATGGTGATTACCAGAGGAATAGGAGGGGCTTCATGTAGTAAAGGGCAAAGGGCATATAAATGGCAATAGAAGAGACTTGACTTGCGGTGGTGAACACAGAATGCAATATACAGGTGATGTATTATAGAATTATAACTTGAAACCTATATTATTTTATTAACCAATCAAATTTTTTAAATTTTATTTATTTTTATTTTTAGAGAGAAGGGAAGGGAAGGAGAGAGGGAGAGAAACATCAATGTGTGGTTGTGTCTCTCACATACCCCACTGGGGACCGGGCCCACAACCCAGGCATGTGCCCTGACTGAGAATTGAACCAGCAACCCTTTGGTTTGCAGGCCCGTGCTCAATCCACTGAGCCACACCAGCCAAGGCCCAATCAATATTTTAAAGACCAAGAAGAAAAAAGTTACATTTATACCCAGTATTGTTCACACACAAAAAGTATTTTGTCACTTAGATAAAAGCAAGCCACTTGACGCACAGCTGGTTTTCAGGATAATTTCTTTTGTGATGTGTCGCAGACACGTAATGCCACACATAGCACTGCTGAGTTTTTCACGGAAGTGAATCATTCGCAGATGAACTTGTTTTACAACATGTACATGGAAAGACACCATCTCATTTAGAGAGGTGTCTAACATCAAAGTCCACTGAAAATGTGCCTGGAGTCGGTAGGTATTTTAAATTGGGTGTCATATCCTTGATTTATTTTTGTGTATATTGTAAACCATAGTTTTTTTTATGACTATTGACATTTTCAATGTTTACCACACTAAATGGTAGACCTTTACTTTAATGGTTTCCTTCTCTTTTCAATTCCCATATACTAATTAAAATTTTTAGTGAAAAAAAGTATAACCAAGCTGCACTTTTTGTTTGGTGTGCATGCTTATTGTATTATTTTTAATATATGCCACATCACTTAGACACCATGAACCTCCATTTCTGAAAATTAGCTGGCTGGTTTTAATTCCACATCCTTGCACCATTTTCAAGAGATCTGACTTTATCATCTTGTTTTAGATTATGTTTATTAAAAAATTTCAAATTTATTGCCACTTATTAAATGTTAGCATAGATTTTTTCCTTCTTTAAAAACATTTATTTGTTTTTAAAATTATAAGTAACATACAACAGTATGTTAGTTTTAGGTGTACAACATAACAATTCAATGTTTATATTATATATATATTTATATGTTAAAAATGATCAGCATGGTAAGTCTAGTAACCATATGTCACCATACAAATTACTATGATGTTATTTACTACAGTCCTTAGGTTGCACATATCTCTCTGTGATTTATTTTGAAACTGAAAATCTGTAGCACTTAATCCCCTCCACCATCTCTGCCTAACCCTAACCCCCTCACCTCTACCTGGCAGCCAGCAATTCCTTCTATGTATCTATGAGTTCATTTCTGTTTTGTTTCTTCATTAGTTTTGTTTTTTGTTTTTTAGATTCCACATATAAGTCAAATGATATGATGTTTATCTTTATCTATCTGACATATTTCATTCAAAATATCCGCTAAGATCATCCATGTTGTCACAAATGGCAAGATTTTATTTTCATGGCTAATAATCCAGTGTGTATACATACACACATATACACATATATATGTACACTTAGGCAAAGGCAACAAGTGTGTGTGTATACATACACATACTCATATATGTGTGTGATCTGTCCAGAAAGTATATAGCCATGTAATATGAAAAAAAGACATTTACTGAAGATACCAGATACAAGAAACATCATACATAGGACAATGACACTTCAGTTCCCTTCAAAGTATGCACCTTGGGACCTCACACAGTTCTCCTGAACACCATCAACTGCCCCATCGTATTTTCCTGAATCTCATCAATGGTCTGAAATCTCTTCCCTTTCAAAAGTGATTTTAGCTTTTGGAAAAAAAACAGCAGTCTTGGGACACCAAATATGAGCTGTAGGGGGGCTGAGTCACATGGGTCATTTGATGCATCATCAAAACACTCTACATGAGACATGATGCATGAGCAGGCATGTCATTGTGATGAAGCTGCCCATCACCAGCTGCCCATAGCTGATGCAGATTCGTTGCTCTACTCATCCAGTCACTTTGAATGTGATGACCACACAGTACACATGCTTACTCAATCATATCTACCACCCCCAGTCACTAGTACAATGAAGTTGTCATTGTTCACATATGCACATTATTGTCCATTCTCCTTGGGTGCCAGGTTACATAGATGTCACGCAAACTGTTCTCATTATATTAACAATGCCTGGACTTTTTCCAGATATATAAATATATCTCACATCTCTATTTATTAATCTATTGTTGGACATCTAGGTTGCTTCAATATCTTGGCTGTTGTAAATAATGCTGCAATGAACATAGGAATTCATTTCTTTTCAAATTAGTGTTTTTGTTTTCCTCAGGAAAAATACCCAGAAGTGGCATTGCTGGGTTTTATGCTAACTCTATTTTTAATTTTCTGAAGAACCCCCATGTTATTTTCCATAGTGGCTGAGCCAGTTTACAATACCACCTACAGCACATGAGGGTTCCTTTTTCTCCATATCCTCACCAACACTTTATTGTCTTATAGATAACATGATTTTAGTAGTTGCAAGGTGATATCTCATTGAGGTTCTGCTTGGCATTTCCCTAATGATTACAGATGCTGAGCATCATTTCATGTGTCTGTTGGCCCATCTGTATGTCTTCTTTGGAGGAAATATGTTCTAAAATCCTCTGTTCCTATTATTTGTTTGTTATTATTGTTGTTGCTGATGTTGAGTTTTATTAATTTCTTACACATTTTGCATATTAACCCCTTATCAGATACATAATTTGCAAATGTCTTCTCTCATTCAATAGGCTACATTTTTATTTTGCTGATGATTTTCTTCAGTGTGCAAAAGATTTTTAGTTTAATATACTGTAGGCCTACTTGTTTATATTTCTGGTTGTTGCCTTTGCCCAAGTATACATATGCAAAAAATATTGCTAAGACCAATGTCACAGTTTATTGCCTATGTTTTCTTCTAATTATTTTATTTTTAATATTTTATAAATCCATTTTTATTGTTATTCTATTATAGATGTTTCCATTTCCCCCCTCTGTTCTCTTCCTAACCACTCCCTGCTCCCACAGTCGTTCCCCACACCATTGAACATGTCCACAGGTCCTTCATACATGTCTTATATCTAAGTTTTAATACATTTTGAGCTTATTGGGTATATGCTGTAAGAATGTGACTAGTTTCAATATTTTGCATTTATCTGTCAAGTTTGCATAATTTTATATATAAGTGAAACAATTTTCAGCTTAATGTCTTAATGTATTTGGGGGAAAACTACATAGACAAAGAGGAGCAATAAAATCAAGTAATGTTTCTGCTAAAAGTTTAACCTGATTACCATGATTTTTCATTTTAGAAATTGAGGTTTGGGTGAAAAATAATTATGTTTACTATATCTATCATATTGTATCATCTTAGTCTAATAAAATACTATGCAAAAGCATAAGTTGTTTTGAAACTCGTAGGAAAGAGGCATTTTACAGTTAAAAATTAAAATGTTTATTCCTAATTATTTAATAATTAATAATCTGACACTGCTAAGACAAAAATATATAGAACTTTAGAAATCTTAGTATATAAACACTAATATCTTTAATACAAGTTTAAATAAGCATATATTGTATGTTTATTTAATTTTATTAATAAATGCAAGCATAATGTTCATTTATGGTTCACAAAAAGGTGGTTACTACTTTTGTATGTTTAGAATAAAATCACTTCATATAAGCTATAAAAGTTTTTAGATAAGTAAAAATGCATGAACTATGTGTAACAATAAAATAAATTGGGTACTAATGAGTATTGGAAGCAATCAAATAGTCTAAGAGACTAAAATGGAACTATAATGACAAAGATGGATTGAGAATATTGATGAGGGAAAAGCACAAGTAGAAATTAGATAAGAAAAGCAAACTGTCATAGGACTAATCAAGTAGAAGTATCAGATTTAAAAAGTTCAATAGGGTGTAATCACCATGAAAGAACATAGAATATATGTGTTACATTTGTGCATTCTAAATTTAAAGATACTGGTGCAAAGTTTAGAAACACTGAATGCATATGCAAAATGTAGTCATGATTGAAAGAATTCAATCAACCACATTCTACGACATTTGTTCTATTTTAAGAACTGCTTATGAGAGATACATGGTAAGCAAAAAGTATGGAGGATATATATGAGAATAACTATTTAGAAAAGAATTTATGCAAATAGGTATCAAGATTAAACCATGTCCTGAAAGCCTTTTCTGTGTCAAATACAAAGTCAGATTACTAACATGGCTTAAAATCTGCCACCCTGATAGCAATTTCCCATACACATCTTATTACCATGATAGAACCAGGAAACGCGGGCCGACCGAAGTTAAAGTGTGTTCGGCATGATCATAAGGACACTGTTCATCTATGTTGATAACCTCACCCTTTCCAGTCTCCTCTAGAAAAACAAGGGAACTAATGACTGCTATCATTTGTACTATCTTGTCCAGGTCACATTTCTTTTTAAATAATATTCACATTTGGTAAATATTTTGCAAAATATTTTAAATCTGGTAGCTGAGTGTTTAATTCCCCTCTGGAATAGTCCAACATTTATATTATTAAGACTTTACGATGATTGTAATTGCCATTTTTTTCAATTTCTGCTTAATAAAAAATTATTTGAATAGTTTAATGTACAATAGTATAAGTGATTTATTCTTATATCATAAGGAAGAAAGTTAAAAAAGAAAAAAAACATAGGACCCAATGATTAAATGATTGTCAGGCAAGACTTCTCCAGTGGTGGTTCTTAAAGCCAAATAATACTTTGTTTTCTATGTAATGCAGCTGTAGCATATAGCAGACTAGTTGTAAAAGGACCATCCTAAAATCTGAAGACGCGTAAGATGTAGTTGGAGAAAAAATGCGTACGTGCAAACTAGGGAAGCCTGAGAACGCGATGGCACGAACCCTGGAATTTGTTGCTGGAACTGCAGTGAACGCGGTGACGGAGACAGTGCAAGGGCCTGCGCTCGAACATTGTCCCAAAAAGCTTCCTGGAGTTCGCACTTGAAATGACTGGCTTTAATTATCCGAAAGAGAGAGTGAAAATTGCGAAGTTTCCTGAAAAATGAGGAACAAAAGTAAACACACTGGGCCATGAAGCAGCTTGGAATGCCTGAGCACAAGATATTTTGTGCTGTAGAAAAGGAGGAAAATGAGAGAAGTTGTGCAAAACGGGACTGGACCGCCTGGGAAGCCCTGACCTGCTTCAGCGCGCTGTGTATGCCCTGGAGGAGTTTAGAATTTAGAATGATTTGGAGAGGTAGGAATCCATTTTAAACATGGGAATCTTTGCTTACATTTATTTTTTAGCTTCACAATTTCAGCATAGCTGCAGAAAATGAAGTTAGCGCTTTGTTTTCCAATGACCTAACAGGTTTAGAATTACCCAGCTTACTTCATTGACGCAACTACAACATCAAATGAAATATACTAAAAAGTAATTATTTTAAAATGTTGCTAATTGAATGAAAGCAATAGCTTCAAAACAGAAGAAGGAAGGGATCCCAGAGGTAAACAAGTTCCTATGCCACCTTAAACCCTGAAAGCAGTTGTCCAACAAGTGGGCCCTGAGCTGCTGCCTATACCACATGGAGGCACACAGGACAGGACAGAAGGACTGGACTTGCACTTCTGTGTACGATGGAGGCACTGGAATTTAACTAACCCAACCCTCAATAAGAATTAGAAAAGCAGAGGTGGGATGGAAAGTGTCTGATGGCCCCGAAGGCAACAGCACAGTCAGGAAATTGAGGGACAGGGACCGTCGATACAGAGGAAATCCACAGTGAGGGCTGCACATTGACCCAGATTTGTCCCTGAGACCACTTTCCAGTTTGTTGCATTATAGTGACATAGGGCCTGAACTGAAAGTGGTCTTGCTATGTAGGAAGACACCGGGTGGAGAATCACAGTTGCCAGGAGACTTAGATTGGAGAGCAAAATCCCTGGCAAAGGACCAAAAGCGTGACATTTGGGGAAAACACTAAGTACTTGTATTTAACCAATGCCTGAAAATGGAAGAGAGGCACAGCTGGACACCACAAGGGGATTGGATGTAGCTCTAGTGGGAGCCAGACATGTTGCCTACCACCAGCAGCTCATCGCACATTTCATTTCCTGCAGACCTCATTTGGACCTTGTGGAAGATTGTCAAGTCATTTTTAAGAGTTTTCTACCAGGGAAAATATGTTCAGCCTGAAGCAGAGTACCATTGGCAGATGTCAAGTGATGAAAGTGGAACATGGAATTGTGGAAAGTACCTACAATACTCATAGATACCTATCCAAAAATTATAATTTTTTCTGAAACAGAAATAAAAAGCAAGGATTCCACAAAGTAAGACAGCTATAAAGTTTGCTGAGTTTCTAAGATAAAGATTATAGAGTGAGCAGGATCACAGGAAAGTATTATCACACATTTTAAACTTACCAAGTACAGAATTTTAAGTTTATGGAAGGCCAAATAAACTGACTACAGCTAGTGAGCTCATCTCCATGTTATGAGGAGTTTCTCTTTTATCTTCCTATTGGAAAAGTATATCGTAGTTGTAGCTCGCAGACCTGCAGCACGATCTTATTCAGACCTTGCAAGGTCCGTTTTCTTAGCTAAGCTACCAAAAACGCAGGAACATAATTCTACTTTCTCTTCTACTTTTTGAAGTCAGGTGTAGACTGCCTAGCTATCCTGCCTGGCTAAAAAATTAACTAGACAGGTTTCTATTTAACAATTATAACTTTATTAGCCGAAGTCTTCACTGTCATTAGCAGATTATAATTTCATTCCTTGAAAAGGCAGTTTACCCTTAAGAATAGTTTTGAGAGAACAATTCAATGGTTCCTTCTTAAGAGGTCTAGGATTTTCCTTTACTAAGAAATGTCAAACTTTGTCTCAAATATAAATGATCTCATAGAGAACTGTGCTCTGCCTAATTAAAACTCACTTGTACTACCACAAAGTATACTCACTGTTTTCACTTTGATTTTGCATTTCAGTTATCATAGTAAAGATATACACAAACAGCGTGTAGAAACATTACAGCCTTTTAAGCTAACAGGGAATACATAACGATCGACTTGGTTTTGCTGAAAAACAGACACTTTGCCTAACATAATTGACTCCAGTCCAGAACTTCCTACCAACCAACTCTCTTTTAACCTCACTTTTGGGTCTAGTTGTCAGAAAAATAACATATTGCAAATTTGGTCTTATCATCTAGCTGCTTTAAATTACATTTGGATCAATATGAAGAAAATTGCAAAAAACAAAGACAGAACAAGTTGGCCTATGATGACAATAAAGATGGTTTCAGTGTGTTGATTTATATTATTTAAAAAATTTGTGATCGCTTAATTAAGTTGCCTTATCTTGTGCCTTAAATTCTTAAAAAGACAACCAAATTAATCCAGCCAGATAATCACCTCAGAATTTTAAAAGTGTATTGATTTTTTTTCTTCTAAAATCTCCTCAATAAGATCTGTCTCTAGAGGATTCTACAAAAGGGCAGAGACGTCTCTGCAGCCTTGGTCCCTTCAAACACTCGGCCGTGTAATGACTCATTGTACTTATCAATGTTCCTGATTAAGCTCTCTTTTTTTATTCTGTAATTTAATTTATATAATTACGTTTCACACAGAATTTTCTCATTTCTGCTTCCTGATTCACACATCATTAAATATTCATTTATGCAGTTGATAGCCTCTTATTAACATCAAGTATGTTTTCTCTGTTTGGCCTTTCGTAATCACCTATTAATGGATATTTTCTTGCAAATTGACAGAAACAATTTTTTACATGTAAGATATCTATCTAAATTCAAAAAATGGAATTTATTTATTCAAAAATTGTGTATTTATTCTTACATGTTTAAACTTCAGTCGCCTTCAAAATACTCTCCATTGGATGCGATACACCTATTGAGGTGTTTCCACTCCTCAAAACAGTTTTTGAACTTGTCGATTTTGATGCCTTTTAGTGATTCTGCCATTTTTTGTTTCACCTCTTCCACATCCGGAAAACGTTCTTTTTGAGAATTTTTTTCATCTGGAGAAAAAACAACAAAAAGTCACTCAGGGTACGATCGGGTGATTAGGGAGGATGGGACAGAGGATCCGGCACGAGAGTCGTGCCATTTTTTGGTCAAAAACTGCTGAACACTCAGCGTGGCGTGGGCAGGTGTGCATGTAAATCACCAATCATGAAAAGGACAAAAGCATTGAAAGAGCCTTCACAAAAATTCACTGAAGCCAAAGGCAGCCTCTCACAACAAGGTCAACTGGTGCACTGATACCAATGGGTTCCTAGAACACTCACCTAGCAGGTAGGGGTGGTGGGAAGTCTGTACTACAAGGGGCTCACCCTCCAGAAGATAATTCCAGGGCTTTTCCAGGGGGGGTCCCCTCATATAATATGTGAAATAATTTATCTTAATATCATTGAGAAATAAGTATTACTAAAGTATAATACTAAAAATTCATTACATCCCTGTAATGTTGCCCAGATCTTGTAGAAGACGTAATATTGAAGCAGCTCTTTGCTTACTAGGGTATTAGCTAAGTTTTCTCACAGCATAGTTTGCTACTTTAGATCAGAAGATACACAACTGAGTGTTAACATATAATTTTACACTGAAGCACAAGTTGTGATAGATATGAAATACCAATGTGAATTACTGTACTGAAATAGAATCTTTCGAAAGATAATTAGGAGAACTGCTTCTAGGATTCTTCAACCTGCTTATGTACTTGAGAATATAATAAAATAATCAAGTGGAATCTTCTCAAAGAAATGTTCTTTGATTGGGACTTTTGCCTCACCATGAGCTCTCTTGAAGGGCAGGCATGGGGTCCTTGTTTCACTTCAAGTCAACAGAGCAAAGGTGTCAAACTCATTTTCACCGGGGGCCACATCCGCCTCACAGTTGCCTGAAATTATTAGGCAACTCACAAAGGGCTGAAATAATTTTAGGACTGTATACAGGTAGCTACTCCTTAACTGTTAAGGAGTTGAAGTTACATTTGGCCCTTTGAAGGCAACCACGAGGCTGATGTGGCCCCTGGTGAAAATGAGCTTGACAGCCCTGCAGTACAGGAAGTCCTCTATGGAATGGATCCGTTGGAAATGAATTGCCCAAGATTTGCAGACTGAGTGTGACTAATGTTTCAGAAAGCAAAAGTGGCCTTTGAACTGAGGTATGACTCGTACTTCGAAAATCTAGAGACCAAGAAACTTGCTGATGAACTGTTTTGAGTCTAAGCATTAAGACTGTGAAGATCCAAAGAGTGCCACTGAAATAGGGTTTCACCCTGTTTTCAGACACAAGTTGCACAACTATTTCCCAGGAATGAGAGTCTCACCAAACTGGATCCAGAAGGAAGCTGGAAGTACAATTCCTGATATCCTGAGAGTCACAAGCAGTCATCCATATGAACTTCAGGGAACTTCAGGGAAGAAGGACTCAGCAAAAAATCCTCTACTGAGCCCTGTAGAGAGTTAGCTTTAGCCAGCTGCCAAGGTGGGAAACTAGGGAAGGGTCCCCAGGCAGAGATTACCCACTCTCCTTACCTTCCACCCTCCCTCTGCCCTGAACATGATAAAAGGCAATATTGGAGCTAGTGATGGAGAACTTGAAACATCTCAGTAAAGGACAAGACAAATCAAGTTTGATGTTTTTATTTTTGACATTCCAATTACTAAATTACGACAGCATTTGCAAATTAAAATGTCTTGAAACTTACCTATAAGAAAACACACAAAAAGGGAACCCACCAAAGTTTTCATACAAAGCTAAGAAATACTTACCCCAACTGAATGCATTTTAAAGGGATGATGGCGGGAGGAAAAAGGAGGGAGATGCTATTACATTGTGAGCTCTGCTCATTCAGCATGATCATAATTTTAAAACACTTTATAGGTTTGAAAATATATTGCTGTTTATTAAAATAATCTATTTCTAAACTATAATACTAAAATATTAATTATTTATTTACATTTTTAAGTTCCAAAAAATTTTAGTTAAACATCATTTTAATAAATGTCAGGGCTTGGAATTAACTGGAGTTTCAAAACAGAACAGACAATATTAACTTTCTGTTCTTAATTATTTTGATTCAAGCAATTATAAGCATCTTAGAAGGAAGACTGTGTCAAACATATTCACACCTCCCCCAACTAAGACTAGCGTGATACCTGACAAAATATATCCCCCTTAAATGTTTGAGGCCTGATTTAACTGGGGGAAGCAACCTGTTAATTTCAAATAATCAAATATTCTAATTAATAAAAGCTAATATTTCTAGTTTCTCTAGTTACTATGAAAGAGGTTGTTGTTCTCTCCAATATCAGAAGAGAAAAGTTGGGGCTCAGACAGTTTAGTTTCTCCCAAATTCACCCTGCTAGCAACACAGGTCATTCTGACTGCCTCCAAAGGCTGTCTCCACTCTGTGTGCTTCTGTGTATCACCCACAGTGAGCCAGGTTTATTTGCTTACAAACCAAGATATTTTCTAAATATGATTAATTAAAACAAAATCAAGTTATCAGTATGTTATCCAAATGAGGTGACATTACAAAATATTTGTTATAAAGGAAACAAAACACTAAAATCTCTTACACACTAAAAGAGGACATACTAATTTGGTTGTTTGAAACAAAAACAAGTTCTGATTTCTATGGTTTGATACAAAAACAGGGAATTTCTGGAACTGATTTGTCTTCAGATAGTTACCAAAGGTAGAAAGCATCCACTCATTACACCTGCATTCATTGGTCCCTTATTTGTTTGCTGGCCTGACTCTGTGCCCAGCAGTGTCCTAGGCCATAGGCTCTGGAGATTCATCTGTGAACAAAACAGTGTCTCTACTCTTGCAGGGCCCACTTATAAGGAAGAAGCAGACAATAACTGCAAATAAATAACTTTTAGGTAGTATGAAACTTACTGAAAGCCATCTGTGTAATAAGTATCTTTTAAAATAAAATCATTTTAAAATGTGTTTTGAAGCAATTAGTTATAGAAAGATTGAAACCAAAGTGCTTGTGTTGAGGCTAAATGCATTTCACCCTGATTGAAACAAGTAGGACAATAGTAGTGGTACTTTCATATTATCAGTAAATATAAAAACACCCTTAAATACTGTTAGCAGCAATATCTGAAAACACCACAAGATGGTGACCTTACTCTATAAAAAACAAATCTTTGCTTCAACTACTACAAATATTCTTCACTTTTCTAAAGTAAAAACTAAAGGTTTTTGTTTTTTACTGTTTCGAAAGTGAAGATGGGAATTCAAGAACATATAACAGTTGAAATTACATTGAGCGATTTTCCAAGTTAATCTTTTAAAAATCTACTAGATATTTTTATACAGCAGTATAAATACATGAATCCACCACAGCTTTGGCAAACAATGAGGTTTCACTCTCAGATTTTTTGCCTAAAATTAGTGCCTTGTCTGTTACATTCATATACAATATATTTTTCTAGCTTCTTAGACTTCCGTTGCCTGTCCTTGAATACAAATCGCAAAATGGTTTTATGTCAAAATAACTTTAAACTGTTATTAAATCTCAAGAGAGATTTAATAGTTGGCTTTAAATTGCAGTAAAGAGATCACTTGTTTCACAGCAGTCATCTATAAGCATTAACAACTAAGAATTTGAAACTAGTTAAATATTCTAAAGTAATCATACACATCTTCCCAACACATCGAGTTCTATCTTTTTACTGTTTATCAGATGGACTTATGGTCAACTCCACTCCCTATTCACTACTTACATTCTCCCCCGAGTCGTGTGAGAGACCCTGCCCAGTGGTCCTATGTCAGGGTCTGACAGTGAGAGCCTGTCACTCAGCATCTGAAAGTCAGAAGAAAAAAAGAAGCCCCTATTCATGACGGTGGTTTCAAGGACGCACATGGGCAAGCAGCAGACACGAGGTTTGCAGTGATTTCCAAAATGAATTCCTGTCCATCATCCATTGCAGTGCTGTGGACACGTGGGACCAGCAGGTTTTCCTGATATTGTTTGAGATGATAACATCGACGTGCGCTTCTGCAAATTAAACATTTGGAGGATCAGATTATTGACTGCAATGTCATCTGTTAGCATCTAGCTGCATTTTCTCTAAACTTTATTCATCAGTCCATTTCAATGAATGGTAAGCCTCTAACATCTCTATTGAAATCAGTATCTCTTGGAATACATACAGTGGCATATGGTTTCCTGATTTAACCTAGAATGGTACTGCAATCAATAGAAGTGGAGTTCTTTTGGTGTCACAAGGAAAAGAGTTTCCTAAGACCCACATGGGAGGATGGGGTTCTATGGTAAATTTTATTGATGTTGTAAAATGAAAGGGTTTCCCTCCTGTCTTCCTAACATCCCATCTCTCTCCATACTACCATGGAAAAATCAGGGCCAGAAATACAATGAACATCCAGAGATCCTGTGCAGTGCCAAAGCTAGTCCAGTCCAGTCTTTCTCATCAATCAACTAGTTTAGCTTGCATCCCAGCTGCAATCCTTTGCGTTGCTGAATACTAAAATTTAGTATTCAGGCTCTCACCTGGAGTCTGCTTGTGGAGTCCACATGTCCTCATGGCTGCTAAGGACACATGGCTAAGGAGAGAAGACACGTAATTGCATGGGACAAGTGCAGGTCACAAGAAAGAGAGAGAGAGAGAGAACTTCTTTGTTCCTCTTGGATTATATTAATTTAGGCTTGGAACAGACCAGAAGCTTTTTCAAAAGAATCAATGAACATTTCAAGTTTTTGCAGGCTTTTGATTTGTCCACCCCCTAGTGACTCTGACAGGTCTCTTTGGTCAAGCACTTCCTCTCGTGCCCACAACAATCTGATTTTGAGGGAGAAAAGCAGAAGTGTTCATTCCCGGCCCTGTTCTGTAACACTTGTTCTTTTCATTTCACCCTCTGAGCACTCCTTTATTTTCTATGTCCTAAGCCACTTCCAAAAAGCAACGCTTGTTTCCAGTAGAAATTTCGGAAACCTAAGGCCATTGCACATTTCAAAGAACCTCATTCTCTTAATTCAGGCTGGTTGTACTTCAGTAGTGTAATCCTCTCACTTAATTGGTGTTTGGTCCATTATATTCTAATTAACTAAATGTTGCTAATGTGCCAATAACAACACCTACAATTATCTTCAAGACCAGGCTTTGTCTGAAAATACTAAGCTTTCTTTAGGGAGCCAAACAGTCTTTTCACTCTGAGCCATTAGCTGCAATGAACATATTTCCCGGGACCACCTTGATTCACTTAGAATTTGTACTGTAAAGGGCTTTACGAACACAGTTTGAATTGGATTTTGCTTGTGTGTTGCATTTTAACTAGTCTTTTCTACTCAGAGCATTTGTATATGCATCTTGCACTGTTGGATATTAGAAGGAGTTGTATCTTTCAGCACTACAAGGACATATTTAATAAGTTGCATTTTCTACTATATGATGCTGGCATATGAGACTATGGTTGAAGCATTTATTTTTATCAAATATATATATGCATACATATATTTCTGAAATATATCTGAAGATATATTTCATATATCTCTGAGAAAAGTCAGAGGAAAAAAGAGTTGTCAAAGGTAAAGCGTGATGGACTCTACAATAATGTGAAGATGTCAAGAAGCCAGGATAAGATCAAAGACAATTATATCAGCTGATCTGTGTGAAGTACACCTAAGAGTATGAAGACTAATTATTATTGAAACTGATATATCCCTGCTTGTTTAATATGTATAAGTATGCATATTCCCATATACATGAGTGTGTACAACTGTCCTATGTTTATATAGCTATGTGTGACAGTTTGTCTATTGATTCTATATCTATATATTTGAGTTATGTTTTAACTAAAATAAACTCAAGTGGCATTATTGAAAGAAATTGTATTCAAGTTATTTTTATACTACCTCCCATATTTCACGTAGGTAACACTGGGCCAGATATGAAATAGAAGTGTTAAATAAGTGAAGGGTCATTTTTTAAAATTCTAATATGTATCACAATTATATTGAATTGAATGTGGGGGCAATTTTGTCCTCAAGTCCCTCCATCCACCACAGATGAAAGTAACACTACCAAGACATGATCTGCTTGGGGAGGAAAGGTGGCCAGTTTCTCAGAGGAAAATGGCCTGGAGCCCCTTCCTCCAGGAGCTTTTATTGGGTTATAATACACAGGAATACAGGGTGGCAAGGATCAAACAGTGGATAACATTTCAAAGAAATCTGACTCAGTAGTCTGAGTCAGTATCCATTGCTCCCTCTATGTTAGCCCCCCAAGTCCTTCCATGATGGCCTCCCAAGTGAGGGAGCCTGGCTTAGGTTGCCCCTCACTGTGAGGAGTCTTACCCTTCGACCATGCATTGGGGGGCAGGGGGAGGAAGCTGAGGCAGCATTTGCTACCAGAGACAAGCTCTGTGTCCTTTGTGGCTTACAATCCGGGGGTCGCTTGCTCATCCTTAGCCATGGAGGGTAGTCACAATTCCTGAAACCAGGCAGAGAGGTTCCCAACAATTGAAGACTGAGAAAAGATGTGGAAAAGCCCTCTTATCAAAATTTGATTATTTTAATATTGATTGTTTATAAAGAAGGGGTAGAAAAAATAGAATCTAACATTTGAAACCTGTACTTTTTTGGAAGCCAAATTGACCTAAACTCAAAACAGTTTAATATACCATGAATATTTTCCTATTGCCACAAGAGAAAGTAAGCTATTCTATAAAAATACTAGCACTATATGAAGTTTTTGATCTGTAACATTATTCAAACAATCTACATACAATAAACTTAACAATCAGCATTTTCACAAAAAAATGAGTATTGTGCCATCTCCAGGGTATGCTATGAAGTGAATTCACAACAAGGAGTTCAAGTTATTTTGATGGATAGACTAGATATTTAAGGCACAATATAATGAAATTACAAATTACTTGCTTTCATTATTGAATCTTAAAAAGACTGATAACAAATGATTTATTAATTTCAACCAGGAAGAAAGATAGAATGAAGGGATATTGAAAAGAAAAATGTCAGGGGTTCAAGTTCATAGATATAGTTACTTACAGATAAACTAAGACCCTTAAGTACTTAATAAAGACATAAAAGGACTGTTATCTAAACATGGAAAGGTAATTGTTGTTTACCATTAAGATGAAGATACATAATGTCTTTTAAGAAGACATAAAATGTTATAGATGTAAATATCATGGCTATTTCAATTCAAGTGAACATTTATTAAGAAACTATTACCAGTCAAGCATTGTGAGCGGTACTAGGCCACATAGATAGTTAGACTTCGTGTTACAAAAAAACTCCTCCCAGCCAAATTAAGAAGACAGGCAAGCAAACAAATAGAACCTAAAGATTTAAAAGGGTTACTATAGAATAAAGAGACTTTTTTTTACATAGAAGTCAGAAAATCTTTCTGGATGAAATAATATATGATCTGCATTCTGAACAGAGAAAGGAGTCTGTGTCTTTGCAAGGAGCAGAGCAGAACACCTTGACAGGTCAGTGACTGTACACAGACTCTGTACTTACATTTTGACCATGACCTTGAGTAAGATAACAACCTATTTGTGCTTTGGTTATCTTCTCTGTAAAGAAAAAAGTGCAATCCTTACTTTTAGAACAGTGCTGTGGTTTAAAATATGTATGTAAAAACCATAGTAAAATAATATACAATAATAACCATAGTTCATCAAGTATTTAATACATTAAACATTAAGATGAACTCTTTTCATATATGGTCACAGTCAATTTCTAGCACAATCCTGTGATACATATTATTATTCCCATTATAGAGTTGTAAACTGAGGCTTAGAAAACTAAAGCAATCTCTAAAATATTATGGTGTTAAAGGGGAAGCACTACTTGAACCTACAATTCTTTGAAATTTCTTTGCTCTTAAGAAAAAATCCAAAACGATAACCTAGCTTGCGAAGCCCTGCATGATCTCTTCTGCCTGTTGTCCCAGCCCTGCCTGGTCACCCGCTCCTCAGTCTCCACACATCAGCCTTAGAGTCCTATTCACTTCTCAATTAATTGCAGACTACCTTACTTCCCATTTTCCGTTCCTGCCACGCTGATCTCCCCTTCTTCCAGGGGCTAATCACTCTCACTCTTTAATTCTTACTTCCTGGACACTTTCTCTCGCTTTGCAGATTGTATCAGATTTGTCTACTAAAATAATCAAGGATAATACTCTCTACTTCCACTGGGTCACATTTAGCTTAATTCCAAATAAAAACAATTTAGATAATTAATTGTTAAATATCAGCATTACCACCACCATGATTCCTTTAGAGAGCAAACATTTTAATCTTGCTGGCCACTATTTCTGCAGTATGGAGCATATCACTCTGTGGGCAGGAGGGGCTCAACTATGTGTTAAATAAATGAATAAATGTTTGGAAAGACCCAAGCGTGTCTAATTCCATAAGCCATCCTCTTAAACCTCAAAAGCAAGTAAGTACTAGTACTTTATGTGATTATTACTGTATTGTTTAATGATTGTGAATGGTAGAAAGATGAATTTCTGTTGGCAAAAACAAGGCAAAAGAAGGAGAAAAGTAAAGAGAAATAGAGATCAGACCATGGAAGTGGTGCCATAAATGAAAACTGCAGGAAGCAGAGGTTGCAGTTAAAAATAGTGTGGCTCAGAAGCCGCCAAGGCTCTCAGAACTATGTATGAAAACCAGGTGACCCAGTGGTGAGTATCCAAACACTACAGACATCTGCATACCCTATCACCACTTAAATATTCTGAAAAATAACTTGATAGTAGAGTTTTATGATTTATACAATAGAAGTTTAGTGTCTATTCATACCCAATGTTTATACAGCTATCTTAATATTATACCTGAAATAATAGTTAACATTTGTGTTGCATTCCCAACATTTCTGATTTTTCTGCTGAATGTGTTATGTATCTATAAAAAGCTTTACTTTTTTTTTAGTTGGTCTTCAGTTAATAATATTTTCTAAAATATTGTTTCTATGTCACAAACATGTCAGTGAGTAAATAGAGGAAA